GTCTGGTTTTAATGCCCTGTCGTGTGGGCAGAGAAATGTTACTGCTTTTATCTAGAAACAGTTCCCTTTTTTTTTTTCCTGATCCTCTTTCTAATAAATTAACTTTTCTCTTTTTAAGTGCTACTTCCCCTAGAACAAACCCCTCCTACTTGTAGAACTGCAATTTTTTTTACTGAAACATCATAAAGTTCCCATTTGGGAGCTCCCCAATTATATCTTACAATAATTCTATTGAATGATCTATAGCTCAGCTTTTATTCCCTATTAGTATTTGGCTGATCGATGGGTAACCTAATTGATTGGTAAGGTCAAATGTCTTTATTAGCTGATGCCTGAATCTTTTCTCATTACAACTTCAAAAAAAAAAAAAAAAAACCTTTTATGGTCTGTTAGAGTTGTTGTACTCATATTTGCACACCAGAACAATAAACTTCCTGCTGGAGATGCTGGTGAACAATATATTTATGCAACGTTTTGTGTATTCTCAGGTGTAGCGTTAAAAGGACATGAAATATTGAGGCCTCTGGATTGAGCAGAACTGCAGTAGGAAACACTTGATCACGGGTTTTGGCGTTGTTCTGTGAATAAGGTAGCTGCAGTGTGAAATAAATCCTTTGCTTTTACGACAGCTTAATCATTTCTAAGTGTAGAAATGCCGAACCTTAACTGCTCTCATTTTGGCTTGTGATGCCTGCTGAGGTGTGGGGGATATTGATGTGGGCTGCGGTACGGAAACGGCGTCCCGGTGATTGCCTGATGGTTTGCTGAAGTGTTTTTTTTTCCTCTTCTGGCAATACAGTTTGCCGTGATCTTTGGTTGGAGATATGTTTAGTATGAGGAAGAGGAGGCTGAGGGGAGACCTCATCACTCTCTACAACTACTTGAAAGGACACTGTAGAGAGGTTGGTGCTGGTCTCTTCTCACAGGTAATTAGTGACAGAACGAGAGGGAATGGCTTCAAGCTCCAACAGGGTAGGTTTAGACTGAACATTAGGAAGGAATTTTTCACAGAAAGAGTGGTCGGGCATTGGAACAGGCTGCCCAGGGAGGTGGTGGAGTCACCATCCCTGGCTGTGTTTAAGGGCCGTTTAGATGCAGTGCTAAGGGACATGGTGTAGGGGAGGACTTTGTAGAGTAGGGTAGATGGTTGGACTCGATGATCCCAAGGGTCTCTTCCAACCTCAATGATTCTATGATTCTATATCCAGGTGTGCTGTGGCAACTCAGTATTTTCTTGAATAGCGAGTATCCTCGCATGGCTGCAGAGGAGAAAATAGTGGAGCAGTGTCAGTTGTCAGCAGAGATCCTCCCAATATAATTATAGAATGGTTAGAGTTGGAAGGGACCTTCAAGATCATCCAGTTCCAACCCCCTGCCCTGGGCAGGGACACCTCCCACCAGACCAGGTTGCTCCAAGCCCTCTCCAGCCTGGCCTTGAACCCCTCCAGGGATGGGGCAGCCACAGCTTCTCTGGGCAACCTGGGCCAGTGTCTCACCACCCTCACAGCAAAGAATTTCTTCCCAATATCTCATCTAAATCGCCTCTCTTTCAGGGTCAAACCCTTCCCCCTCGTCCTATGGCTCCCCTCCCTGATCAAGAGCCCCTCCCCATCTCTTCTGTAGCCCCCTTTTAGTTATTGGAAGGGTCTATAAGGTCTCCCTGGAATAATCTCTTTTGGGGTTCTGCCTTTTTATGCACAGGCACCTGCTACATTTGTATTTACCTCTGGATTTTCATGTATTTTAATATATTTTTAGGCTGGGGATCTTCCCATTCACAAGTGTCCCCCCACTTTCCCCCAGCACGACTCCGTTTCTGCAACGTAAGCACTTGCTGCATCTGACAGGATGGATATCGATTCCTCCTGCTTTACTTAAGATGGTTATAACTGAATTAGTTGGTCAAGACTCTCCTGCAGTCGATGAAACTGCTTCATTCATTCATAAAATCCGCTCTTTTAAAACTCTACTTAAGGCTGAGAAGAATTGCACACTGGACTCTATTAACTATAATGGGAGTGTGGGCTAATGACGTTGGATAATATTTGCAGATTAGGCCAATTCCTGGAGACGAGGTCATCGAGACACATGGCTGTGTGTCACTGGCTTTTTTTATGTGTATCTCTTTATTTTTTTTTTTAAATCTGATTGCTGCTTAATGTAAACCAAATAACTGGTTCCACAAAGGGTATTAGAATTGGAGGCTGTCCCAGTTTAATCTTCTAATCACTGGGCACCCTAAAAGGCATTTTTTTCTTTCGCTTTATTTGTAAAAAAATCAATAAATAAATACAAGAGTATATACGATATGTAGACTCAAACCTGTCCATCTTAGGAGGATCTAAATTCCAGATATTCCGATTTCTGGGCAATTCTTTAACTATTAACTTGCTATGAAAGAGAAGGCTGATGGCTTTTTCTCTTCTGCATCAGTATCTCCAGCAATTTCCAACTACTAACCGTTGTTGAGCGCTGCCTGGGCAATTCTTTAACTATTAACTTGCTATGAAAGAGAAGGCTGATGGCTTTTTCTCTTCTGCCTCAGTATCTCCAGCAATTTCTGACTACTAACTGTTGTGAGCACTGTCTGTGTACATAAATACTTAATACAAATGCAACCTCGAAGGAGACAACTGGTTGTTTTGTGATTGCTTCATGTCTTATGTTGCCTGAAAATGTAGTTCTCTGCTTTTTAGCTATCTAAGTAGCTAAAAGTAGTTAAGTAGCAAGTGTTTATCACCTTCTTGGAAATTGTACTTAAGCGGTATGCATTTTAGAGTGAGATTTCATGTCTTTTAGCTCTGTGGTTCCACGGAGTGGAATTTGAGCCTTCATATAAATAAGAGAATTATTGGTAAGCCTGGACTGGAATCCTAGAATATTGTGGAGTTACAGCTCGGCTAGTGTAGCCTTCATATAAATAAGAGAATTATTGGTAGTCCTGGACTGGAATAGTAGAATATTGTGGAGTTACAGCTCAGCTAATGTAGGTTTGCCTTTATTCCACACAGGCAGATCTAGATTAGGATTTATATTTGCGTAAACCTGGAAATAATAGCTTGATTTTTTAATCTTTTCCTACAGATGTACTTTATAGTTGTTTTCTCTTCCACCTATGGGAAAACTCACTCTTCCTGATTGCTATAAATCACTATTTTATGCAAAGTTAACAGCTGTTCTACTGAATTTGGCGTAACTTTTGGTTATTAAGCTACTACATTTTCCCAAGTGGAAAATGTTGTTCTTTCTTATTAGATAAGTAGGCATTCTTTATTTTTTTTTTCTTTAATTCCTGCTACGTTGTCAAATTGTATTTGGATAGAGATAAAACACAACCATCTCCAAGGTTGGGTTGGTTTTTTTGTGGGTTTTTCTTGGTGGGGATGGTAGTGTGTGTGAGTTTAGGGGGAAACAGCTATTTCAGAATATTTTCTTCTGGAATTGTCTTGAAACAGGTTATATTGCTACCTCTTCTATCAAAGGAAGTGACAACAAACTATTTCTGATCTCCTTGGGTCAGATTTTTTCAGAAGTTTGCAGTTACCTGGAAATGGGGAGATGGTTTCATATTGAACAGTATCAACTATTTTTTTTTTCTTTAATTCCTGCTACGTTGTCAAATTGTATTTGGATAGAGATAAAACACAACCATCTCCAAGGTTGGGTTGGTTTTTTTGTGGGTTTTTCTTGGTGGGGATGGTAGTGTGTGTGAGTTTAGGGGGAAACAGCTATTTCAGAATATTTTCTTCTGGAATTGTCTTGAAACAGGTTATATTGCTACCTCTTCTATCAAAGGAAGTGACAACAAACTATTTCTGATCTCCTTGGGTCAGATTTTTTGAGAAGTTTGCAGTTACCTGGAAATGGGGAGATGGTTTCATATTGAACAGTATCAACGTAGGAACTTGCAAGACTGAGCCCTCGAATATCAAAGAGAGATGGGAATGGACTCGTTTTGTTTCCAAACCTTATTCAATGAATTTTGGTGTATATATAGGTGTCATTCAAACTTGTAGGATTAGTGACTCTCACACTTTTCTGCCTTTGTGTGGAACAGTTGATTCAGTCTTGAAGAAGTTGCTTCCCTGCTTTTTAGTTCTTAACCAGACTTTCAATTCATCTGACATAATCTAAATGAAGAAAATATTCTTTCCGTGTCTACTTCTTTAAACAAAACTCAGAGAATTTGAAGTACAATCTTTTTCTAGCAATACAAACTAGAAGTATGGATATCTAGGATGTTGTAAATGCTTTGTTAGTTAAAATACACATCTGCAAACACACAGCTTGTAACAGAGGAAGATGTTCCCCTTGTTTCCATATGAATAATAAGCAACATTTTATGACTTCTATTTAGGACTTGCAGTCTTGAAGAAGTTGCTTCCCTGCTTTTTTCTTAACCAGACTTTCAATTCATCTGACATAATCTAAATGAAGAAAATATTCTTTCCGTGTCTACTTCTTTAAACAAAATTCAGAGAATTTGAAGTAAAATCTTTTTCTAGCAATACAAACTAGAAGTATGGATATCTAGGATGTTGTAAATGCTTTGTTGGTTAAAATACACATCTGCAAACACACAGCTTGTAACAGAGGAAGATGTTCCCCTTGTTTCCATATGAATAATAAGCAACATTTTATGACTTCTATTTAGGACTTGGTCCCATCTCGACCCCCTCCCCCCCCCCCTTTTTTTATTTTTACTTCATAAAGACATATTTCTTAAGAAAAATGTACTTAATTTAACACTTACTGTATGTTTTTTAATTTTCAAAGGGTTCCACTAATTGAAAAGTTGTTTAATAACAGTAATTTGTAAAGGTTCTCTAGTGTTCGTATGCTAAAATTTGAAAGGTGGTTAAACCACAAGAAAGCACTCCGACTGCTTTATAGTAAAAAAGAAAATAAATAAAATAAGGCATTGTATTATGCAGTTGTTTCTGTAATTAGCAATATATTGGGTTGTGTTAACATTTAATTTAATTTTCTTTTAATTGTAGTTAATAATGAAGAACTAAAGAAAAGAATAGCTGAAGAACTGGCATTAGAACGAGCCAGGAGAGATGCTGAAGCTCAAAAGAGAAGGTTGGTTGGTTAATAACAATATTTAAAACAAACAAGTTCTTACTGTTTTTATTACTGTTATTTTTCTACTTTAAATAGTTGCATTTTGTGCCCCAAGACAAAATGGTGGGCAAGACCTTTGCGTGATACAGCAAGTTTTGATATTAAATACATGTTCAAACAACAAATTAACAAATTAAAATTCTTCGGTGTAAGAATTGATATAAAATATTGATGTAAATCCCTTTTGACCTCATAAGCCAGACTCTTTTTTTTTTTTTTGCAGTCTTTTGAGCTCAATCTTTGTTGATTTCTCCGGAGTCCAAATATTCACTTTGTGATGTAAACCTAGAAAATAGCTAGAGAGCAATGCAGAGGTGCGTAACTTAAACCCCCTCTGATCAAAAGGTAAATTTTAACAGTAGAAATGGTAATTCTTGTTATTTGTGTGAATTCTAGATATTTCTGGGAGCTTCAGTATGTTTAGAACGGGTTTAACCATTCCATGATTCTGCTTTGTACTACCTGTTAGAGTTAGAAGGGACCTTAAAGATTGTTCATCGAGTTTCACCCCCCTGCCCTGGGCAGGGACACCTCCCACCAGACCAGGTTGCTCCAAGCCCCCTCCAACCTGGCCTTGAACCCCTCCAGGGATGGGGCAGCCACAGCTTCTCTGGGCAACCTGGGCCAGGCTCTCACCACCCTCACAGAAAAGAATTTCTTCTCAATATCTCATCTCAGTCTCCCCTCTTTCAGTTTAAAACTATTCCCCCTCATCCTACGGCTCCCCTCCCTGATCAAGAGGAGCTTGATCCCTCCTCAGCTTTCCTGGAGCCCCTTGAGGGACTGGAAGGGGCTCCAAGGTCTCCCTGGAGCCTTCTCTTCTCCAGGCTGAACCCCCCCAACTCTCTCAGCCCCCCCTCCCAGCAGAGGGGCTCCAGCCCTCCCAGCATCTCCGTGGCCTCCTCTGGCCCCGCTCCAACAGGGACAACATGTCCTTCTGATGTTGGTGGCCCCAGAGCTGGAGGCAGCATTGGGGGGTTCTCCCCAGAGCGGAGCAGAGGGGCAGAATCCCCCCCTCACCCTGCTGGCCATGGGGCTGGGGATGCAGCCCAGGATGAGGAGGACTTTCTGGGCTGCCAGCGCACTTTGCCAGCTCGTGTTGAGCTTCTCATCCACCAACACCCCCAAATCCTTCTCCTCAGGGCTGCTCTCCATCCATTCTCTGCCCAACCTGGATTTGTGCCTGGGTTTTCTGTGTTCCAGGTGCAAGACCTTGCACTTGGCTTGGTTGAACTTCCTGAGGTTGGAATGGGCCCACCTCTCCAACCTGTGCAGGTCCATTTGCGCAGAGGGAGGATAGAGTCACATTCCTGAGGTTGGAATGGGCCCACCTCTCCAGCTTGTGGAGAGGGAAGGTAGAGTCACGCAGAACTCAGCAGCAGAACTGGGATGCAGCATTTTTAAAATATACTCTTCAGTGTTTAGTCTGTTACTGTGGGATTATTAACAATTAAAAAAAATCCTGTTTGAATTTGAAATGGAGTTTGGCTGAATTCGTGAACTTGGTGGACTTATGTGTTAGTTCATATTTTCTTTCAGTGTTTTTCCTAAATAGATAATATGACACACTGACATTGTCCTCCATTCTGAGAATGGGAAGAAAGGCTCATTATGATGAATTAAAAAAATTAGAACGCAATTAGTAGTACTTAAACTGTCTGCATATATATCAGTTGTTTCCTACACATCATTATATTATTATTTAATTGAGTTAGGTTGATGGAGTATATAATTAGATAGGACTATATAAATGTCCCAGAGAAAAAAAAAAATAATAATCAGGCTTTTCTTTTGCATCAGCAATAAAGGAAATCAATATGTTCCAGTGAAATCTCTCCTCTTTTGAACTGCTCTTTGACAGGAGAACTTGCATTACATTTGAGCTTCACGTTGGCCGCTCAAGAGTTCAGCTGAACGGCATTACACCATGGAAATATTTCTTTTCTAACTTCAGGATTTTGTCGGTTTACGCTTTTCAGTAATTTTCATGAGGTATTTCATAATTCATAGAATCATAGAATGGTTTGGGCTGGAAGGGACCTTAAAGATCATCTAGTTCCAACCCCCCTGCCATGGGCAGGGACACCTCCCACTAGAGCAGGTTGCTCAAGGCCACATCCAGCCTGGCCTTGAACCCCTCCAGGGATGGGGCATCCACGACCTCCCTGGGCAACCTGTTCCAGTGCCTCACCACCCTCACTGTAAAGAATTTCTTCCTAGTATCTAACCTAAATCTCCCCTCCACCAGCTTAAAACCATTGCCCCTTGTCCTGTCGCTACTCTTCTTTGTAAAGAGTCCCTCTCCGCCTCTTCTGTAGGCTCCTTTCAGGTACTGAAAGGCCGTTATAAGGTCTCCCCGGAGCCTTCTCTTCTCCAGGCTGAACAATCCCATCTCCCTCAGCCTGTCTTCATAGGAGAGGTGCTCCATCCCTCTGATCATCTTTGTAGCCCTCCGCTGGACCCGTTCCAACAGATCCATGTCCTTTCTGTGTTGAGGACTCCAAAGCTGGACACAGTGCTCCAGGTGGGGTCTCACGAGTGCAGAGTAGAGGGGCAGAATCACCTCCCGAGACCTGCTGGCCACACTTCTCCTGATGCAGCCCAGGACACGGTTGGCTCTCTGGGCTGCCAGCGCGCACTGCCGGCTCATGTTGAGCTTCTCATCTACCAACACCCCCAAGTCCTTCTCCTCAGGGCTGCTCTCCAGCCATTCTCCGCCCAACCTGTATTTGTGCCTGGGATTGCCACGTCCCAGGTGCAGGACCTTGCACTTGGCTTGGTTGAACTTCATGCAATTTGCACGAGCCCACCTCTCCAGCCTGTCCAGGTCCCTCTGGATGGCATCCCTTCCCTCCAGCGTGTCAACTGCACCACCGAGCTTGGTGTCATCAGCAAACTTGCTGAGGGTGCACTCTATCCCACTGTCCATGTCACCAACAAAGATGTTAAATAATACTGGTCCCAGTACAGACCCCTGAGGAACACCACTCGTTACTGGCCGCCACTTGGACATGGAGCCGTTGACTGCAACCCTTTGTGTGCGTCCATCCAGCCAGTTCCTTATCCACCGAGTGGTCCATCCATCGAATCCATGGCTTTCCAATTTTGTGACCAGTATATCATGCGGGACAGTGTCAAACGCTTTGAATAAGTCCAGGTAGATGACGTCAGTCGCTCTGCCCTTGTCCACCAAGTGTGTGGCAGTATCATAAAAGGCCACCAGATTTGTCAGGCACGATTTGCCCTTGGTGAAGCCATGTTGGCTGTCTCTAATCACCTCTTTATTTTCAGCGTGCCTTAGCAAGGATTTCAGGAGGATGTGCTCCATGATCTTGCCAGGCACAGAGGTGACACTGACCGGCCTGTAGTTCGCGGGGTCTTCTTTTTTTCCTTTTTTGAATATGGGAGTTATGTTCCCTTTTTTCCAATCAGCAGGAACTTTGCCAGTTTGCCACGATTTTTCACGATAATTCAGTTTGCACGGGTTGTGCACTGAGCTGGGAAAGGCAGGGAGAGGGTTGGCTTGTCCTGTACCTGATGTTGTGTTTGGTAGGGAATGACGCTGGCAATCTGCCCTAAATTTGGCTGAGGATCAGTGAGGAAGATGCTACGTATTCATAGGATCCTGTAAAATGTTTCTATTGTCTCAAAATTAAGTTGGAGAATCTGTGCTTTTCGAAATGTAAGCTAGAAAAATGAATAAAAATAAAAATATACAGAATAAAATGAGAACTATCAAGTCATGTTAGCAGCTATTCTAGTTTTGATTTTTTTTTTTTAACAGTAAGCAAGGATTTTTTTATTATGCTTCCTCTACCATATACTAATATATTTCAACCAGAGTGTAGGAGCTCTTTTCATGTTGGATGAAACAACTTTTTAAAAGATGCAGCTGTTTATTTCGCTATTACTTGAGGTCTTTACGAGGTGAATTCTGGTGGAGGTTTGTGTTTTAAAACCACTCGAGAAGCACGACAGGAAATGTGGAGCTGCTTTCCATGATTTCTAAATTTTGTTTTGGAGGAGGTATGGAAGGGGCATAAGCCCATCATTAGTGAATTTATCTGGTAGTTTAGGATTGAAAACTATTTGACTTTCCACTTCTGATCTATTAACAATTTAGTTTCATAACCCCCTCCTTGTCTTTGACCATCTTTTAAGACCACGTGCCAAAGGTATGTGACATGAACATAAACACCTTTTATTTCTGCATTCTTTTTGAATCATAGAATCATAGATCATTGATCTATCAAAGATCATCAAGTTCCAACCCCCCTGCCAAGTTTTATTAGAACTTTTTACCTTAGATGGTGTATTTTGCATGTGTCCGTTTTCATTGCTTTCTCAAAAACATTGCTTTTCCCAATCTTTAAGGGAAACACCATTTGAACATGTAAAAATCCCAAACTTGCAACCGTTTGTTGTGCCGGATTCCAACTGTGTAATAGCTAATTTCAGTCCTGTTTCTGTATCCAGTGTGTGACCACATTCTGATCTGATTGTGAGATGTATTTTACTCAGTTCAGGCTGTGAAGGAAGGAAATTTTAATTTGAAAGTGCTATATAATTTATTTATTCACACATATATACACAGTACAGATGGACTACTCTTACTATACAAAATTAAGATCTGTGCTTATTTCTGGGGTTAGAGCTAAAGGCTGACTCTTCAAATTGTATTTTCATGCTGTCAATGCACTCAGAACTTTGAGCAGTTCCACATGAAGCAGTGATTTGACCCAGCCTTGGAGCATCTTATGTGCACTGGTCTTTCATATTATTTCTTTATGCTTCTTCATGTATTTTCATCTCCTTTTTTTCTGTGATTGAATGTGGTTCCAAACCTTTCATAGAACCACAGAATCATCCAGGCCAGACGGGACCTCCAAAGGTCATCTAGTCCGACCTCCCCGCAGTCAGCAGGGACACCCCCAACTAGACCAGGTTGCCCAGGGCCT